ACTTGCCCTGAGAAGATCACTACTGTCCACTTCGGATTTATCCGGAAGAACCATAGCAGTAAAGTTCAAACTCTGCGATTGATATGGTCCTGCGGATATTATCGAAGGTTATCATTGATAATGCCGAATGAGCTGGACAGCGAGCCAAATCTCAGGAAAGCCTCCCACAACTCCATTTGCGCGGTTCCCATCCCGCCTCAAACTGCTTCGAAAACCTGGGAGGGGCAAGCAAACATCCACACCCAAGGGAAGACAAAGGAAGGTGAACAAACACGATAACTTGTCCGAAGTAGCGGCATGCAAAACTAGCAAAATGCCTTCTTAAGGCTCTGCCTAGTCATTGTGCTTGCTTGCAAGTGCTAAATTGCACGAGCTCAGGGGGGGGGCCTATTCCAAATCAAGAAGTGTTTCACACGACTCGCGGACTGGTTTGAACACTTCCTCAAGGCAACCAGGTTTCCCCCTGTTGAAACGTTGGAGGCGACAGATCTGATGGACGATATCGGTTTTCTTCCAACCTGAATGGGGTGTTACTTGCTGATAATCTGACCTTTTGCAATTTGCAGGTTCAATAAGATTCCAAAAGCTCGAAGAGCCTTTTCCGGATCAACCAAGGACCATGCAACTCATTGAGGATTTAGCTTGGTGGCATCATGTGTCATGTGGCATCTTCTTTCTGTTGCAGTTTGCCTTGGAGGAATCAGTGAGTCTCATGGTCGCAGTTGGAAATGCAACTGCGTTGCGGAAGCATCATTCACAAGAGTCTGGGCATGCCCTCATGCACGGAGCACAGCTCAAGCAACAAGCGTTCACAAGCAGAAGCGCGAACTCAAGCAGTACTAGCAACAGCGGATGGCATGGAGGCGCTCACTGCCTTACAAAGGCGGCCGCGAAGATTCGACAACATTCCCGAAGATTTCGTCGACTCGACAACATTTCTCGTCGATTCGACAACATTTCCTGAAATTTCTTCGGCTCGACAACATTTCTCGTCGATTCGGCAACTTGTTCCTTTTTCCCGTGAAAATTGAAAATGTCGTCGACTCGTTTCTCGTCGATTCGACAACATTTCTAGAAACCTGCTCGACTCGACAAGTTTTTCCTTTTTGGCGTGAAATTTGAAAATGTCGTCGACTCGACAACATTTCTCGTCGATTCGACAACATTTCCGGAAATCTCGTCGACTCGACAACATATCTCGTCGATTCGACAACATTTCTGGAAATGTTGTCGATTCGACGAGATATGTTGTCGAGTTGACAACATTTTTGCGCAGCATTTTTCAATAAGTGTTTTCACGGAGTTGGGGGCATAAAAATAAGTGTTTTCTTGTCATTTTGCCTTAAAAATAAGTGTTTTCACAGTTTTTTTCTGGAAAAAACACCAACCGACGAACCTTTCCAGAAATGTTGTCGAATCGACGAGATATGTTGTCGATTCGACAACATTTCCGGAAATGTTGTCGAATCGACGAGAATTGTGTCGAGTCGAGAAATGTGATCGAATCTTGGAGAAATGTTGTCGAGTCGACGAAAATTCCGGAAATGTTGTCGAATCGACGAGAAATGTTGTCGAGTCGACGACATTTTGTTTCCTCTTGGGAAAAAGGGAAAAGTTGTCGAACCGACAAGAAATGTTGGCGAGCCGACTAAGTTTCCGGAATTGTCGAATCGACGAGAAATGTTGTCGAGTCGACGTCATTTTCAACTTTCACGGGAAAATATCAAAGTTGTTAATGTTGTCGAGTCGACGACATTTTCAATGTTCCACAGGAAAAGGAAAGACTTGTCAAATCGACGAGAAATGTTGTCGAGTCGACGAAATCTTCGGAAATGTTGCCGAGCCGGCGAGAAATGTTGTCGAGTTGACGACATTTCAATTTTCCACAGGAAAAGGAAAAGAGTTGTCGACCCGACAACATTTCTGGAAATGTTGTCGAACCGACGAGAAATGTTGTCGAGTGGGCGACACGGGGAATGGTGTTGAACCGACGAGAAATGTTGTCGAGTCTACAACATTCAAATTCCCATGCGAACAAATGGAAGAAAACAGCCCCCGTCTGGCAACATCAGCCAGATGTTCAAATCGAATTGCAGTTTTGATACGAGAAGCACATCAACCTGGAAATTTGCAGAGTGCTGGCTGGGGGCAATATCTGAGTCGAGCCCCTGCGAGAAGGGATGGATAAGTGTTTTACTACAAATTTTTAGTCTAGGGTTGCAGGTGTTACTTCCTTCTGCCCAACGTATTGAAAACACTTATTCATCCCTTCCCGCAGGGGGCTCGTGCAATTTAGCACTTGCAAGAAATTCAAAACATACTTCGCCTACTCCATTTCACAACTCTGCACATGCTTGCGCTCTAGCTCGCCCAACTCACTGGTGCGGAATTCGATTGCATCTACGCCTTCTTCTGCTGTTTCATTCGGAAGAGCTGCCAAACCAAAGCCGTTTCCCTTAGGAAGTCCGGTTCAAAGGCACCTAAACCAACCCAACACCCAACCTTTGCAATGGGCTCCAATGGGCATTTCAGACAGGAATGCGCAGATCAGACTGAAAGCGCATCATGAGGCCCCCTGGGGTTGTGAGACTTGACATAAGGGACTGAGGAAACAGGGCTGTCCGTTTTCAGATCCACTAAAAGTGACTAACTTTTAGTGGCTTAAATCCGGAAACCAACCACTAAACCAACGAAGCTAAACACCTAAGGAACCGAACGGCTGGGAACACTAACTAATGTGGTGGGTTAAATTCGGAAACCAATCACTAAACCAACCAAAATGCTACAAAACGAAAAAACTAACGGCTGAGAACCACCCAGGACAGAGACATGGGTCAAAATCCAAATCGTACCCCCAGTGAACATCCCAATCCCCACTAAAATAGGTAACCTAAAATGGGTGGTGAATTCACCAATCCCCACCAAAATGGGATCCCAAAACGGTTTTCCATTTGAACTGGACCCAAAAGCACCCACAGGTTTTTCCCCACCAAAATGGGCTCCGATCCCGGCCAACGGTTTTGACCCCCACAGCGTCACATCCATCGCGAATCGCGGCCGCAGTTCCTGGGTCTCCAGACTCGCACTGCGCACGGAAGCGCAGGATCGGCGGCTTGGGGGGCCACCTGCCGGGGAGAAATGCTGTGAATGGTTGCGAAATCCATTTCGCACCACCCAAGAAACCCCGGAATGCTGATTCCTCTGTAAGTACCAACAGACAATGGTTTCATCATAGTTTCAAACTTTGAGACCATGGTTGAAAGCATTGTTTGTTGATGCATTTACCAGGGGAATCAGACCATTCCAGGGCTTCTTTGGTGGTGCGAAATGGATTTTGCAACCATCCACAGTATGTCCAGGAGTCAGACCGATTCCCTTTAACGCCAAGGGAAGATAACAAATACCTGGAGTCTCGATGACCCTGAAACTAAAAGCGGTCATTACCCAAGACTGAGGGGTCATGGACCCATTTTTTAAGGGTCATGGAGACTCTAGGTATCCATAGCAAAGAAATAGCAAAAGGGAAGCAAATATTGAGTTAAAGGACATATTCAAAGGGAAAAGGGACATATTCAAAGGAAATATTCAAAGGGAGAATCAATAGCTGAAAAAAACAAAACTCGCAAGAAATGGCAACATATTGATTTCAGGAAATTTAAGTGTTCTCCAAGGTTGCCTTTCCACTTGGCTGAAAAGAGTTCAGCTCTGAGCTCCTTTTTTTTAATCCCCCGCAGCACAAAGGACTGCTGTAAGTTCTAAGATGGTTCTTGTAGCAAGCTTTGTGAACAAAAAAGCAGTTGCAAGCCCGGCGAGACCTGTGAAGGCGGGAGGCAACCTGCTCACCGGCTCAGAAAAGTTGCAGAAACTTCTGCACGGTGTGGCATGGATCCAAGTTGTTGCATGCTTTCCAGGTCGTAAAGAGTGAAGACCAATGCAAAACAATGGTGGTGCAGCATGAGTGGCTTCGACGCCACATACGTCGACATATTGTCAAAAATAAAACATACTTCATCAAATCGAGAATATACTATGAAACCCGAACGCAATCCATGATCTTAAATGCATTTCTGTAGCCAAATTATGCCAAGGCTTTCCGCTGTCCTGAGCATTCCTGCAGACGCCAGTTTTCCACGCGTGCCACTCTCAATCCACAAACAGCTATTTGGGGAGGGAACGCAAAAGAATGCAGCTCAACGAAACACTTTTGGACGTCGTGTAATTCATAACCTGAGAAATCCGGCCCTTTTGAAGTGCCAGAGCGAGTCCCACGTATGCTTTCCCGGACGCCTTACCCTAGGACACATCCCCCTGGACCTGCAGATCGACACCCCTTTTCGCATCAGCCATACCACAGCCCCGGCCGCACCGGGAGACTGGAGACAAGCCACAGCTCGATTCTGTGGGGGCGCACCCCTGTTGCAAAGCGTGAAGTTCAGATTTCCAGGAAGAGTGCCACCAGGAAGAGTGCCAAAAACAACTGCTCGCCTTTAGCTAGGAACCATCTAAACATAACCAAATCAATGACTGTTGTTTGACATTCAAGAGGGAGCTCTGACGCATTATTGCACTGGATGGACAAAACCTTTGCATCAACAACGTCACGCTTTGCATCAGGAACTGGGCATAACTTAGGCTGCAACACTTGCAGCTTCCTGTACTGCTGGCTTCTGAATGCCCAAATAGCACTAAGATGGAATTGATTCTCCCAAGGCCTTCAAACAGCTCGCACAACTGAGCAGCTGCTACCTATGACAAACGTTGCATCAGTGACAACCAATCGCAAAGTGCCACTTGGCGCCTGGTTGTGTTTTGGTTCACGCAAACGCACTTCGTACGGGGCAGGCTTCGTGCCTTGTCACTCAAATAGAGAACTCCTCAATTTGGGTTTGCTCACTACTTGAGATCCTGAGAAACACACTTCGGAAGCAAGTCAGCATGCAAGAAGGGTGCCGGTGAAGTGCAGCCACGTGCCTACCATCTGCATCGGCGAGCCACCCGACTCACTCGGAGCTCTTCAACTTCTGCTTGAGCCCTTCGGGTGGAGCCTGGCAGCGAATAAGGCACACAGGGGTCACTGGAGTTGCAGCTTCCTGGTTTCCAACAAAAACCTTTTTGGGCACTATTGGCGGTCCAAAGGGACCTGGAGGGATCCCGGACGACACTGGTTCTGTAGCCACCTTTTTGGCCACTATTGGCGGTCCAAAGGGATATGGAGGGACCCCTTACCAGTTGCAGCTTACTTGTTTCTAGCACCTTTTCTAGCACCTTTTTGGCCACTATTGGCGGTCCAAAGGGATATGGAGGGACCCCCTACCAGTTGCAGCTTACTGGTTTCTAGCACCTTTTTGGCCACTGTTGGCGGTCCAAAGGGATATGGAGGAACCCCTTAATTACCAGTTGCAGCTTTCTGGTTTCTAGCACCTTTTTGGCCACTATTGGCGGTCCAAAGGGATATGGAGGGACCCCTTACCAGTTGCAGCTTACTGGTTTCTAGCACCTTTTCTAGCACCTTTTTGGCCACTATTGGCGGTCCAAAGGGATATGGAGGGACCCCTTACCAGTTGCAGCTTACTGGTTTCTAGCACCTTTTTGCCCACGATTGGCGGTCCAAAGGGATATGGAGGGACCCCTTACCAGTTGCAGCTTACTGGTTTCTAGCACCTTTTTGGCCACGATTGGCGGTCCAAAGGGACCTGGAGGGACGTGGCTACAGAACCAGTGTCGTTCGCTCCAGGTCCCTTTTGGACCGCCAATCGTGGCCAAAAAGGTGGCTACAGAACCAGTGTCGTCCCGGGGTCCCTCCAGGTCTCTTTGGCCTGCCAATCGTGGCCAAAAAGGTGGCTACAGAACCAGTGTCGTGCCAAGGTCCTTCCAGGTCCCTTTGGACCGCCAATCCTAAAAAACCCTTACCTGTTGCAGCTTACTGGTTTCTAGCACCTTTTTGGCCACGATTGGCGGTCCAAAGGGAGCTGGAGGGAGCCCGGAACGACACTTCAAAGCCCACCCTCGCCATGTGCTTGGCTTGGCTGTTGTCCACCCGTCGGGCCCCGAAAGGGCGGGTTCTGGAGATTTCTCCAATTCAAACGGCTTGGGCATGAGAGCCGTGCCAGGCAGGAAACTGCTTCAGGGGTCATTAAAAGCAGTCACTGGAGTTGTGCCTAGTTCAACACATATTTGTCAGAATAAAAGAGTGCGACATATGGGCGTGTCCTTTCTGGGGGGAAACCTGTCGGTTGGCTGGGGACATTCGACGCCATTTTGCGGAATCCCCCTGAAATCAGCCACGCCCTCTTGCCGCACTGATCTCCCAACCGGAATGAATTCGCTTTCATTGGGCTGACTGAGGCAAGTGAATCAAAACTCCCCAGGTGTTTGCTATCCCCAAAACGGGTGGCTTGCCATTCTCCTGAACTTGGCAAGACTCGCTGTTGTCCAACCTCAGGCGGTGCTGCTGATGTCCTGATGATTCATGCCCTTGGGGATGTAGTGATGACCATGCTGCTGCCTTATAAGAATCACGTGCCCACACCGACAACTAATTGGTCGTTCTTGCACGACCTGCTCCAATAGCGGCACCTGGTCAGTACATTCTCTCATCGAGGGCAAAGGATCACTGATCCAATTCGCACTTGACCCAAAGGAACACACATGTTTGTTCCAGTCCCCAGGCCGCCTACCCCCTCCCCCCCAAGGTCCCCCCTCCCCCACATAGAAAGCACGAAAAGCACAAATCGGCTGACCTGTCGTCTACCCTGCCTTGGGGATGGGCTTCGAAGGCTCGCTCCTGTCATCCAAGTTGCACTGGTTGAATCCCCAAGACTATAGAGACCCCTCCAATCGGGTTGCGTTCCTTCGGGTTTCACTACAAACTTCAACCCAGGGTCACTCATCATGCGTTGCCGTAGGATACATTCAAGACACCACTCACCGGCAATGGCTACACATGAGGCCAACGCCTCGCGCCGAACGCCAAGGTATGCGGTAAGTCAAGCGTGATTTTATAAGACTGTGCTTTGCGAACACACATCCGTTTTGTATATAGGGGGGGCCCCTTGGCTGTTCTCCGAACTAGGCCCCCCAACCCTTAAATGTTTGGCCTACTGCATTTGACAAGCACAAACGGGTCGTCCAATTTGTCCCGAACCACCAGGACCAAGCCCAAGCTGGCCGATAAAACTACACCTCCAGCTCACGAGGATGAGAACTCTGTTGCGTGCAAGGGTCTGTCCCCGTGGAATGTGCGGAAAGGAACATGTGGGTGTGCCAAAGTTGAACACTCCTCAAAATCTGCCAAGACCATGGGGAGAAGACATATGGGTTAAAGGAACCTGGGTTACGATTTCTGCTTCAAAACAGGCTAGAAGTTGGTTACAACAGGGGTCCTTAATTATACACCTGAACTGTGCAACTTGTAAATGGTGGTGTCCAACTTTATTTTGGTGTTGAAAAAGCCACATGTTTCAAATTGGCAAAATGTATCCTTTAAGGAGCCCTGCACAACCGCTCTCTTTGTGCAACACATATCCGTGCACTGAAGCCCGAAGACTGAGACAAACCAGCCGTCGCGCACTTCGCCGCAGTTGGCACCTGAAACCGGCTGATCCGCAAAACCAAACCAAACCAAACCAAACAAATCAGACAGACCGACAACCAACCAACAAACAAACAAACAGACAAACAAGCAAGCAAGCAAGCAAGCAAACAACAAACACAAACAAACAAACAAACAAAAAAAACAAGCAAAGCACGCAAAGCAAGCAAAGCAAGCAAAAAGGCAAACAAACAAAAAAAACAAGCAAACAAACAAACAAACAACAAACAGGCAAACAAACAGGCAAGCAAAAAACAAACAGGCAAGCAAACAGACAAGCAAGCAAGCAAACAAAACCACAAACAACGACCGCAAACAAACGGATGAAAAACAATCAAACGAGAAAAAACAAAACAACAACAACACAGAAACCCACACAAACACAAAGGCAACAAATAAAGACGGGAATGCAAACAAACAACACCTAAACTCACAAACAAATAAACCCGCCAAGTCTGCAACCGCTTCCCTCACAGGACCAGCTTGTTTGACCTGCCTACTGATGGCTTGACAGGTTGGCAAGCAACTGGAAAACACTCATCCATGATCAGTAATCATTCCGAATTAACCGGACAGAGATGGACAGAACGCCAAAACCACGTGTGTGAGCCTCGGTTTGTGCTGCATAACAAATTGCGGCGCTTGGCTTCTCAGCTGGCGCTTTGCCTTGACTGCCCTTTCACACCTCAAAGCAGGACAATGTCTTGGGACATTCCGTGGTGGCCTGGAACCTGACCGGGCAGCGCAAGAACTTTACCAGGTAGCTCTTACCGATGCCCCAAGAAGGGTGTCAAGCCGTCGTGATGACAATAGTTCACCAACCTCTTTTCGCTCTTTTCGGCCGTGTCCGTGCTCGGAAGGCAACATGTTATCTTTGAGCAAAAGAGTTTCAAGGCCAATCCCAGAAATAAGGTCAAACACTACACGCCAATACATCACGGATTAATCCAAGTTTGGGTTGACCCTCGACCGTGTAGAGAGTCGGAATGCTGCAACATCACTGCTTCTGTGCCTTCACTGGGGCTGAAGGTAGGCAAGCAACACATCCCTCACTCTACGTTCCCCCCGCAAAGATGCCATATCTTGACGTGACTCTTGTCAGTGCCCTTGGCCCGTAAGTTGATTTAATTGTCCACAAGCACTTGCGCCAAACCTGTCAATCAAGTGCAGAGTTGTGGGGAATGACCACCTCTGCGATACAACAGAAAGGGCTTCCCAAAGACTAAGCCCCACATAAAGAGGGAGTTTCCCTTGGGGATAAACACCATCGCACTGTATTTGTTTCGTATAAAGGGGGATTCGCTTGTATCACAGAAGTGGGGATATACCACTTGATCCCGCAACCTTGATCAAGTGGGAACTGCAGCAGCCAGCAATCCGTCTCTCTCGGCTTAGCCCGCAGCTGTGGGCGAGTTGGGCAACTTCACTTCTGGCGCTGCCTGGCTTGCGAAGGGCTGGGGTGACGGTGTGGATGGTTGCGACATCCTCTTAGGCACCACCGTTCAGAAACCCTGGTTTCTCACGATTCCCCAGTAAATACCAACGAATCATGGGTGCAACTTTGGTTTCAAATGTGGTGCGAAATCGATTTCGTCCATCCACGGTATGGGCATGGGTCAAAATGAAACCACCAGAAAACTGCAGGGTTCTAATTACCAGGGTTCCGGTTTGGGTACCATTGTTGTTTGACCACATGGGGACCCTGACGCACAATTTATACCCCGGCCGGCTGTTTTCAACGTTCAAAGGCCAAATGGCGCTTTGGGCTGTCGGAGGCTCTGGCTTGACTCGCTCCCTGTGGAAAGAGTGGCAAGTGGATCGGAATGGACAATGAAAAACACCCAACATGACTGAACATTAATTCTGAATTGCAACAGGCATAGCCCAAGACACTGCACTAAGCAGGATACAGGAAACTGCATCGGACGTGACATGAACTGAGTCCAGATTTCCCGCATTCCCTGAATACAGGCAAGAAAGCCGCCAGTGATGACCGGGATGTCCAGCTTAAGTTCTATGTTTGTCTTGTCCCTTAACTATATCTTGGTTTCGTTTCACCAACATCCGTCAAAAGACTTCACACCCAAAAGTGCGGGGAGATCAGTCTGACACAGGGTTGAGGCCTGGCTGTTGAAGCTCAACAGCGCATGTCGCATCCTCGTAAAGCTGTTCACGTGATCGCAACATGCGGTCAAAGGAGCTGCCCGCCATGCAGGAATCTCCCGCCTTGGACGGCGGGCTGCCGCTATTGCCGGCACCTGTGCCGGTTTGACTGCGAAGGGTTGGCAGGGCTCTATCGAAGAGCATGCAGTACTAATAAGGAGCCCCTCAAAAACAAGGTATGTAAACCGGCATGATTCGCAGGCTCTGCTTTTGTTATTTTGAGCACTGGCAATTCTGCTCAACGAGCCTTACACCTATCACAGGCAAAAGGGGAGCAAGGAAATTGAATTGTTGCCCTTGGCGACCCGAAAAGTCTCTAAAGTTGCACCATGGTCGCTACTCCTTGAGAAGAAGATGGCCATGGCCTAGACATCAACATGCTGTTCAGGCTCAAAGGTGTTGCCCAAACCAAAGGTTGCTCCAAAACGCATCCTGATACATGGGGAAAAATGCATGTCCTTGAGAATGCGAAGGCCCGAAGGGAGAGGTCGCAGTAGCGCACATTCGAGATTCGGAAAACGATGTTTCAACCCAAGCTGCAGACCGATCAGCCCACTAGCCCAATCATAGTCCAGCTGCTTGCAGCGAACTCGAAGCTTTGCAAGGTTCCTCGACTGACTACTCGTGCAACCTGCCAACCCCCGCGAACCTGCTAGCTAGTTGTCGCATAACCACCAACAAGGCGCGGTGTCCTTTCGGCGTCCATTCAAAACCCATTCATTCAGGGTATTTCCATTTAACACCATTCAACAAAGGGTAGCATCAAACAAAAAATGCCAAGCGCCCACCATCCTCAAAGCACGGCCGCCATTTGCCACGAGCCGATGCTTGGCTCTGAGCCCCCGGCTCGGCTTTTCGCCGTCGAGGTCCTCCATGAAGTTCTGCGCCTTCGCGGCGATCGCTGCCTCAGCTCAAACTTGGGCGGTCGCATGGCGGTCGCATGCGAAGCTGCGCCCAGTGTTGCGCCAAGCCGCTGATTCCTGACTACCCCCCCTTCCCAAAAGACGTCGATTTCTGAATCTGCCCTCTTTGAGGGAACATATATTCCCTTTCAATCTTCGCTTACCATTTCTGTTTTCCACACAGGTACGAGTCCGTCAGTCCGCATATCTTTCCAAAAGCAACTCTCCAAAACCGACGCCTCGGCGCCCCGGCCACCGACATCTCCTTCTTCCGCTCCGCGGCCCCCGCCAGCTTCGCCACCAGCGAGGCGGAGGGCCCCGAGGGCTTGGCCGCCGCCTTGGCCCTGACGCACGGGCCAAGCGTCGGGGCCGTCGTGGGTCTTGAGTCACCCGAAAAAAACACGAAACCACCACCTCCAGGAGATCCTTGGGTTTGGAAAAACAGGACCAGCTCCTGGAAACCGTTGAATGTTTTGAATTGGCTTTTTTCATGGAAGTGCTTGGGCAGGGCTGCCATGATGACTTGCATGGATGCGCTGAAAGGGCACCCAGCCTTCCTAGGTATGCTGTCAGGGAAATCCCGCAGACACTGACGCTTGCAACGCTAGGGCTTCGACTGGCAAACAATGGAAAGCAAGGCCTTGTGTCCCATGGACAAATTGCAACATGCAGCGAGGCTGTGACATTGCTGTCAGGTGCAAGGGCACTAGACCAATCATGGCCGTGGCTTTACATCAAAACGCCAGGGAAGAGCTATTGCTAATACCATGAGCGGTTAAACCTTACATTTTGCTATTGTCATTCAGTGTCTCACTTCCTGAGTGGAGTGGCCACAAAAAGTCCTGCAACTTTTGTTTATCACCAAAATGGTCCAAAACCAAAAGGTGACTAAAGTCCGAAACGGAACTCAGTCAGTGAGGTTTATCTACGGCCGCTGGTTGCGACCTCCCGCCTAAACGTCCAGCTCTCTGACCGCTAGAGTCGACGGGGTGACCGAATCAAGCCAATCCAACCAGCTGTGTTCCGGGTTCGAGTCATGGTTAGCAATTCTTTCGGGCGCTAGGGAAACGCCTGGTTGCTCTATCCAGGAATCATGAGAGAGTCATTGCAAAATCAAGCAAACAAATGAACCTCCACTTCCATTTGCTCAAGCCCCCTGAAAAGATACTTCCAGTAGCGATGGATTCCCTTTAAAACCCAGAGGGAAAAATGAAACTCAATGCTGCTGCGGTGCCGAAACTTGCCCAACCCAACAGGCTCACAAGCCCTTGCCTGCTACTGTTCAGCGATGCAGGCCTCAGGGCATGATGCAACCGAGCACGTCAGTTCTTCTCATCCAAGGAGAGAAAACGAGCGGGAAACAAACCGGACCTGCAAACTTTGCTATAACTTCCAACAGGGATCTCCAAGTAAAGAACCTGCATGGTGAACTCGTTGTACCCGCTAGAAATAGGCAGCTTGGATGATGGACGCGGCCCAAGAGGCCGGAAAATGGGAGGCCAACTTGAACATCAGCCAGGATTCACCATCGGTCTTTGGACAAAGTAGAGACACATGCGGCACTGTTCTGTTTCTCTAGCGGTTGAAAACCTCCACTTTGCTCGTTTGCTGGTGGGTAAATGGCCAAAAGCCAGGTCTGTAAGCCGGACCTCGATACATGCAGCATACAAAGTAAGGCCAGTGTGTACCGGTGGTGTGAAACATGGGGTGTGTTCTATATTCCTGGCCCTCAAATGAATGATGGGCAACTTCTCCCATTTTGTGGCAAGCTATCGTGGCTTTTGCGGTTTCTGCCATGGTCATCCCATGCAAAGGACCTTTTGATCAACTCCCACATAGGAAGGCGGCAGGCTCTCTCGCACAGCCAACAAACCGGTGGGCTTAGCGGCTGCATGAAGCAATAAGCGTGTCGGCCCAAGGCCATCGATTGGGCCTTGGGCTCTCCTGGCACTCGAGTCCCCAACAAAGACCTGGTCGCTCCATGCGGCAAATCTGCCAAGGCACCAGGACTTGCGAATAGACAGTTTCCGACGTCGCACATGGTGTCCTGTCACCATGTTCAGCAATTCAAGTGCTACCAGTATACATCTTTGAGATTTGCGCTCAGCAGAAACAAGGGCGATCGCACAAGTTGTTCTAGGGCTGATGTATCATAGCGGAAAAACGGTGGGATTCCTTCAATAAGGATTGCACGATAGGGTTCTGTAGATCCTTCCGGAAAACTGATGGCAATGGCTACTCACCCCGAAGTATCAGGTGTTGGGGCCTGCTACAGCCCGGTGTGACTTCCTTCACTACTCTTCTCAGGTGGCGGCATCGGCTTTGGCTTCGCGGTCGCTGCCCTAGGCAGTCAAGGGGTCCACGTATCTTCTGAGATCAATACTAGTACCGGGCTTTAAGGAGGGAAATCACTTGCCGTAAAGGCCTAAGTGGGTCTTGGTGCTTCCCCGGGCCGTTCTATCCAGCACACAATCAGGCATCACAACCCCGGCTTGCTGTTGGCACTTTGCCACGCACCCCCAAGTTGCAGCAGTAGAGAACTCACATGTTCCCGTTCTCCAAAACGCCAATGAGATTCGAATTTAACAAATGAACTGCAGTCAAACGTCCGTAGGTGTACTTGTCCCCGCAAAGCGGGTCTTCATCCAGAATTTGAGCAACGTGACAGGTCAAACCAGGAACGCATTGTAAGACCCACTCCGCTGGCCGCATGGCATGGATTTGGGAACGAAGTGGACTCAACAGCGCATGTTAGTAGAGGCTCCCGGCATGGCAACGACCCGAAACCAGGGTTGAATGCCCAAATTGAGGTCGACTATTATCATTATTATATATATATAAACATGTCCTGTAGAGCTGGTTGCTTTGAGCTATCTTCCAGCTGGTGTTCATGCTTCCTTGGCGGCCCTGGGTGAACATGGCCTTTGAGAATGTGTTTGACACACAAAACACACACACACACAACTGTGTGTAAAGCATTGATCATGATCATCTCTCTGTTTCAGCATGATCAAACAATGACGGCCCGGCCCGGTGCCCTGTTCGTGTGTTCAAAAAGAACAACTTAAACCACCTGAATTCCACAGTGTTCTCCAGCTAGAATGCTTCGATGCGCTGCATGCACGACAACTGCAAAGGCGCTGATAAGCTGTTGATACCGTGGTTTGCGATCCCCAACATGATAGTTGCATTAATCTCCAGGATACAGAGCAGGATTGGCTTGGGTTTTGCGTATGTTTGCTGAATGATTGAAGTATCATTGTTGGAACATCAAATACGTTTACGAAAGAGATCACCCATCTAACTTGAAGTCGCTTTCGACTGAGTTGCTTCATCCTAGAACCGTGCGTGGCATGGAACATGCTTAAACACTCTCCCTTCACACTTTCATCCTTGTATCAAAAATCAATGCTTGCTCCCTCCAAGGGGAGGCATGAACTCCTCAAAGCAACGGCCATGTCTCCCAGGCTTCCGAACCCTGACCTTTGCTCCCAGATCCCCTTTTCGCTGGCCGGCCTTTCCGGCTCTTTTAGCGGTGCCCTGGCTCTTTCGGCGTGACGGATGATGGAACTTGCTCTCATGAATCAACTATAGGTGTCAACCGGAAATTGGACTCGAAATGGGGGCTTGCCAAACCCTCAGCGCGTGAACTTCTTAGAACCAAGCTGATTGAATAGTCCAAACACCAGCAGGCAAGACAAGAAAAACCATCTGCAAACAGCTCCTGACTTTGCGTTTTGCAACTGCACAAGGACGGCGGCAATAAACAAATCGTTGGACTTGGAGGTCCGCAATCTCAGGCCTATTGGTCATAGGCTGCAGGCGGGCTCCCGGGCATCATGCAGAAAGGTCTCAAGAATTGTGCCCTGACTTTTGCTTCTGGGATACCTTGGACTGAGAGTAACTATCAACATGGCGTCGTGGCATCGAGCATGACACGAACAAACAGTGGCAAAGGCGACGATACGTAAAGCAATGCGAAAAGCAATAGAAGCCGCAACCAAACAAAGCATGACACGGCTGCAACGTCTTACAGCAGCACTGTCACCAGCAGCAGCACCAGCACCAGCACCAGCAGCAGCAGCAGCAGCAGCAGCAGCAGCAGCAGCAGCAGCAGCAGCAGCAGCAGCACAATCACCACCACCATCACCACCACCACGACCTCCACTACTGCTACCTACTGCTGCATCTGTAAATCCAGCCAGAGCTGCCACGCTTACTAAGTACTACGCCTGCGATTACGTACGACTACGACCGATACCAATATCACCAACATTCACCACCTTTTTCAGGGTACCTCTTGTTGGCTTTAAACCGAAAGGGCAACCGTTATTTGCGCCCCAACAGACAAGATACATACACGTACAGTATCACCGTCTCAAACATGCCCAGGCTGCACGGTCTTGTTTGGCGCCTGACAGTCCGCTTCGAGCCGCATGGAATGCGGTGCAGGATACACAGCTCCCAGTGAACCAACCAGTTCTGTTGCAGTAGACCCTTAAGGTAATCAGAAGTCTGGCCAACGTGCAAGCAATCCCTGAAACAATGACACTTCAAGAAGGCATCAAAACTATGCCACAAACATGGTGTCGCATCACAATGCCAGCGAACCCTTGCCACGTCTTATTTGGTTCCAGCTGCGCTACATTTCAA